GAAAAACAGTAATAAGATCTAAGATAGCTAAGGTGGGACTTTATTTAAAGACACGTGCCTATAGATTTTACAATTTATGGGTATGTTAGCTGGATCTCATCAGAATTTAAAATGTTTATTAATGTATGGAAAGCTAATGTACAACATCTAAAATGTTTTGACAGGGTACAGAAATGTCAAGAAAACTCACAAGTTTCTGTGCTGTTCTACTCCTCACCCTGACCTTTGTGTCTGCTGCTCAAAGACGTCTGAACTCCATCAATGAGCTGAAACATTTTCACACAGGTGAGCGCTCAAGTATTATAGACCTACTTCATTGGTTTGCCAACATTGTTGAGATTAGCAATAATGCCATCTGGCTGACCTTTGACCCACAACATGACTATGGCTCACATCATTACGGAAACTATCAAGGCTTGTTGGAATTTCAGTCGTGGGGCTGCAAATACTACACAGTTGGTAATATTCAGGTGGACACATCGGAATCACTTCCATTGTATGTTCGTAACTCCCAAAGCGAGACCAATGGGCGGAACAGAGCTCGGATCATATTTAGTGCAGACGGGTACAAAGAAATAAATCGAGTCTTCATCACTCAGCATTATGGCTCATCTGAGGATACAAGTTATGATCCTGAGTGGACATTTGAGGTCTCTATTGACCTTTTACAAGAACTCAGGAGGCAACAACGTCCCGATGGTCACCAGACAGGCAGCTTTGGAAACACACCCCATCTCCAGGGACTGAAGTACTATAACCAACACCGTTTCACTCCTCAACCAAACACAAGAAACAACGAAATGGACTGTCTGCGCACATTGTGTGTTGGTGCTTTGATTATTGTTTGTTTGTTTATATTCATCTCAGTCATTAACTTGAGGAGCGATTTTCATAAGTAATTTTCAGGAAAATAACCAGTAACGGCTAAATCAGAGGAGTGTCCATGTTCTCAGACACAATCTAAAATAAAATGGAAATGTGGTGCTTTACAATAACAAAAAAATTAAAGATAAAACCAGCAAAACCTGAGACACTTTTTTAAAATTATCTTTTTACTTTATATATTTAGCTACAAAACTATATTTGATAATCAAAGCAATGTTTTTTTTTAACAATGTGATTCAACTTTACAAATTTATTCACTCCTCTGGTATTCAAATAAAAACATGTAATCTGATAGGCTATTAGTGACTCTGTGCCGAGTTATTTTGAGACAGTAATTAAGAAAATTATTAAAACCGATACTGCACATAGAAGTTTCAATATTTTTAATGATTTTTCTCTTAGGAGGTACAAACTGTTTAATAAACTGTTTTTGTCTTTTTTTTTTTTACTTTAAGTGAAACAGTTTGCAATTAAATAAGCCACATCATTACAAACAAGAAACATTTAGGTTTTTAGGTGTACGTGCTTTTTGTGTGTTTTAGCCATTTACATAACTTATTTTGTTATTTACATTACTGATTAATGGCAACAAAAAAAACTTTGTGACATGAATAAGACTTGTTTGTAGTCAACTTATTAAAAAGGCCTTTATGTTTGTGTAATATAGATTGGTATGGTCTTCCTAAACAGAAAATGAGTGTTAACACTGAGCAGACGAGCAAAGGGTAGATCGTGAGATAATGGAGCATAAACTGCTGTAAATTTAGCTGAAGAACACAGATTTATTTTTTTCGAGGCTTATTTTGTTAGCTAGGGGTTCTGATCAAAGCTCTGATTCCAAATGCAGCTGCTTGTTTGGTCTGTAAACAAGAAATCTATTAAAAAAATGTATAGAATTATTATAGTTTTTTGTGTTTGTTTATTTACACATTCAGAAAAGTTTTTCACTCCATTTCTTTGAGTCAGCATGTGGAGAAAAGTTAATACTGCTGTGGATCCAAGTACGTTCAATGTAAAAATGGATAAAGTTTGTGTTTCAATACTTAACATAATTTTTGATTATGTTGTATAATCTACAAATAAAGTGTTTATGAAATGATTTTCAAAAAAATCTATAGATTTGCAGCAATTATTGTCTTTATAGGCGATTAATAAACTTTTGTTTTGACGTAGAGGTCTTTATTATTTATCTTTACATTACAATACTTTTAACCAAAATCCTACACAGGGCTTATAAAGTTAGACCATATGAATTACGCATGCCATGAGGATCCTTTTTTAGTTTGCTTTAAAGCAGATTCACATTTAGATTTTAGTAACACACTTTGTGTTTAACTATGTTTTCTGCATCACCTTGTTCATCCAAACCAAAAATTCAAACTTTTAATTGTAAAGAAAATGGTGTACAACCGAGATAAACTGTGTTTTTATATGAAAAACATTAATGGAACCACATGTAGTCGTTAAACAGAATTTCTTATCTGAAGCCGTTCCTCCTGCCTTCACTGCCACGCCTTGATCTCCGACCTGAACACTCTGTTTCAGTTCATGTGCAAAAATGAACTCTAACAGAAAATAAAATGACAACTTTTCATTCACTCTAAACTTTAAGTGGTGTGTCCTTTTATACTTTTAGATAGTATAACAATGCAATTAATTATTTTTTTTAGAAAGAAGAAAACTGCAAAGTTGCATAAAGAGAAGTTGCAAAGTAACATGTAAATTTAGACACAAACTCAGCCTACCATATTTTACATTGATTACATTTAAAACCCAAATAAATAAAAAGAGGACAAACAAAATGAGCTACATTCTCGATGGATGATTGTGTTTTTCTCTGCATATAAACGTGACATCACGACCTGCTGAGGCACTCTTGAGGCTGAACACAGCTGCTCGAGGTTACAGTCGACAAATCAACAGAAATACAGCATGTCATTACGGCACCTCGTGATGTTCTGCTTCCTCCTCAGACACAGCACATCACTTATCAGCCTGCTCATCAGTCACTCTCCCCTAGGCAACATTCTTAAACCTGTACTCGGGGTATATATGCATCCACAAGACAGGACATGCACAAAATGATTAAACATCAATATATCTTATTTATAGATCACACACAAACACTTTGGCTAAAAATTTAATTGGCCAAAATGACCACATCAGCATCCAACTGGCTCACAACCGGATGCAGTGCAGAGACAAGCAGCAACACATCAGTAGGAGGAAATAAAACGTACAGTTTCACTTCATGACAATCCTAACCAGCAACATCAAAACCAATAGATAAATCTGCCCAAGTCCCAGTCATCTGGAGGTCAAAGTGCCCTGTTCATTTGTTTTCTCACTGCAAATAATTACTGTACTTTCCACCGTACCCATCGCAACACCCTGTAAGTCGCATCAGTCCAAATAGGTCTTAAAAAAGTGGAAAAATCCATCAATACATCGCTTCTCAGTATACATCACATATATTATGCGTCACCGCTAACAACCCGGAAATGTGGGAAATTTTTTTTTTTCAGTCATGATGAATCAAAACGGTCATATCTCAGCCAAAAATTGGTTTATAAATATGGGAAAAACTCCACAAGTATGTCACATCGGACTATAAGTTACAGGGCATGCAAATTATGCAAAAAAACTGCGATTTATAGGCTGAAAAATATGGTACTCAAAGCACTCTTGCACATTTTATGGCTCTGAATTTTTCTTCTTTGCTCTTCTCCACAACAACCTTCCTTTTTTCTCTCCGTCTCTTTCCATCTTCCTATTTTCTCCTCTTCTCTTTCTAGGTTTCCTTCTTGCAGGGCCTCCCTCCACATGCTCAGCTGAGCAGGGAGGTGGTAATTTGAGCCAAATGTGGCATAACTTGAGACCAAATCCTCCCCGTTTTTATTGTTCACTTCCTATTTTCTTACATGAGGCCACACTTCAGATATTCAACAAGCAGACAAAGGTTACAAAGAAAATCTATTTTGCATGAAGTAGACATTAAATTGAGTGAATAGAAAGAAAATAATAAAACAGGTCAGAACTTCAAGAAGGGGAAGTTTGAGCCTTTACGTAAAAAGTTTTATGACCTTCAGATTTGGAATGCATCAGCTCCCTGCCGCCTACGCGTAGCTACTACTTCACAAAAAAGAAAAGATATTCTTTGAGCACAGCCGTCCTCTGATCAGCAGAGGCACAGACAGAAACAGCAGTGTGAAGTAGAGCTTTTCTTACACTACAAGAGAAGCAACTCAAAATAAACATAAACTAGTAAAAACCTTTAACCTTCGACAACAGTAATCCAAGTGCAAATTCAATACATAACGTATTTTATATAAACAGATTCTCAGAACATGTAGCTGAAACCATAAATGTCAAACGACAACAACTGCTGTCTCAGAGAATAAAATTGAAGGAGACTGATTAATTAAAATGTGTTTTAGAGGTCTATTAAAAAAAATCCACGTGACAAAAGCAAAACAAATGGTTTACAAGGGAAAATGTGCAAATTGCAGACATTTGAAAAGTAAAATACTAATAAAAGAAATGCGTTCCAATTAAAATAGACTGACTTTACTTCAACTTGTGCTTAACTGAAAGTTCAAGGTTGCGTTTTATGTGGGGGTGGGGGTGGGGGTGGCGGGGTAATTGCCGTCCTGGAAGTAGTACTGGGTTTCTCATTAACCTCACTGACCTACATTCGGTTAGTTTTTCTAGATAAGCTCAAAAAACACACATGGCTGTGATTTTTTTTTTTTTTTAACTCTGTAATGGTAATTTACACTTTCACCATAACGAAAAGGAAGAAAGTCTGATTAAGTAATAAGTATGAATCGTGTATTAAATCAGGAGTTTCACCTTGTTCTAAAGCACATTAGTGTTTCAACCTGTCAAGTTAAGAGTGAAAATTAAACTGATTACCAGAAAAGGTAAACTGAAAAGCAAAATACAAGAACATTCATTGAGGAAGCTCCACAATGTTGAAAGCTGTTAAAACCATTTTTAACGATAAAAAAGAAAGTTGCATTGGGATATTTAAAACTCACTGAGTGGTTATTCTTGCCAGTTTTTTTTAAAAGCAGAAACAAAATTATCACGGATTGGACTGTGTAAGTACTCACTGTCTGTTGGTCGGGTTGTGGGCACCTCTGTGACAGGTGACACCACCTTCTCCACCTGTGGCTCTGTCAGGGATGGCAGAGGGGTGATAGGTGCAGGTGGTGTGTGGTGGTTATTCTCTACTGCGTTGCCTGACACCAAACTGTCCTGCTGTCTGAAGACTGGCATCTCTGGTCTCCTGGAGAACCCATCAACTGGGCTGAGGTGAGGAGAAGAGGGCTCTGCTCTTCTCTGAGGGGGCTCAGGAATCCTAGAGATAGGAGTGGAGGATAGCTGGGCATCCACCCTCCTGGGAGGGGCAGGGGGATCTTGGGGTCTTGTCATGCTGAACTCTGCCCGCCTGTTCACGGAGTTGGAGGAGCTGTCCAGGGCATTACTCCGGCTGCTCAGGCTCACCTCTGGTCGTTTGAGACCAAAGCGGGCGATGCCAGCGCTGGGTGAGTTGTCAATCTGTTTGGAGGAGACCTCGATGGACATTTCTGTCCGGCGGGATGAGGCTGCATCAGGGTTACGACCTGATAACTCAATGCGCCTCATGCCGGACTTTGGGGAACGTAGATTGGAGGACTCAGAGACAGCAGATCTGGAGGAGGAGTAGTCTGAGTTGCGGGAGCTCAGATCATAGCTGCGCTGGCTGGACGTGGAGGATGTGGATGAACGGAGAGGGTTAGAGGTACGGCGAGAGAGTGATGATGGGTTTGGGGATGCATCCGTGTCCTCCACCTCAAATGACCGCTTCAGTGCTGGAAAACAAAAACACCCGTGGTTAGACAGGAAAATCTATATTTGTTAAAAGCTCATACTGATGGATATTAACATAGGGATGGATGATTTATCAATTCCTATCCATCATATACCACTTATCCATAGACGGGTCACTGAGGCAACAGGTCCAGAAGAAAATCCCAGGCATGCCTCTCTCCAATGACACTATCAAGCTCCTCCCGAGGGACCCTAAGGCATTCCCAGGCCAGAGAAGATGCAGTCCTTCCAGTGAAGGGTCTGCCCTGGGGCCTCTTCCCAGTGGGACCTGCACCGAAATCCTCCAAAGGGAGGCATCCTAATCAGATGCTGGAGCCACCTCAATTGACTCCTTCTGATGTGAAGGAGCAGCAGATCCACTCTTAATACCCCCAGGAAGACAGAGCTCCTCACCCTATCTCAAAGGTTGAACCCTTTGAAGGTTGATGCCCACCCTGCCAAGGAAGCCCATTTTGGCCACTTGTATACAGGATCTCACTCTTTAGATCATGATCCAAACCTCATGACAATAAGTGAGGATTGAAAAGAAGTCAGACCAGTGAACTGAGAGCTTTGCATTTTGACAACTCTTTCTTCACCACAATCGACCAAAGCAATGCTCTCATTACTGAGGACGAGGCCCCAATTCATACATTTATCTCATGCTCCATCCTACCATCACTCGTAAACAAGAAGCCCAGATAAACTCCTCCACCTGAGGCAAAGTCTCCCCCTGATTCAGAGGGGGCTTTCCTATTCATCTTTTTAATTTCCTTACATACAATAAAAATAATACTAAGAAACCAAATAAATCAAAAACTTGGAAAATTATTAAAAAAATTATAATCAAAGCACATTTAGCTGAGGAGAAATTGATGAACTTATTCATGCATGCATCTGTAAATAGGGTGTGTAGTTTAAACTTCATCCTTCTCTTTTTTAAACTTAGCATTGTATAGTTCTTTTGTAACTACAGTAAATTTAATCGTTTTAAGAATTATTGTTTTTTATGTGTCCTCACCACATTTAAAATAAAAACTAAACCCTGTGTGTTTTATTTTGAACCAAGCTTAATTAAGGTTATTTTTGAAGGAGAGCAAAGTCAGCCATTTTATTTAGACTGTCAGGAACCAACAATCTGAAGTGAAGCACATTTTAATCAGGATAGGTTTAAAAATGCTGTAGGACACTGATGCTGCCAGAAACATAAATTTAACTTCAGAAATAGACACAAAACACTTTGAAATTGTGTCAGTGAGCGCTTCCGTTTAATGAATAAATGCTCAAACCTTTACTGAATTAGCCTAGCTAAATTAGCTATTCTTACCTGACTTAGCACGCCTCGCGTAGCGCTTTAGCATGTTGTTAGCAAAAGTTAGCCCACTGGAAAACAAGTAAAAATGGGTTGAATTTCAGCTAGCAGCACCAGAAAGTGTTCCAAAGTAGGAGTTCAGAGATCCCAGAAAATAGGCATTGCTTTTTCCGTCACTCCTCTCTTCTCGCGCTGCGCACCTGTTCAGACCACGCCCCATAATTAACGACGTCATAGACCACGCCCCATAATTAATGACGCCATCGGGAAAAACACTTAAAAAAATTAAAATATTGGTTTCCTGTGTTTACACATCACGTTTTCTTTAAAACTTTTGTATAGTTTTGTTGTAGGGTGAGCTGGGGTGTAGCCAACTGGATGGTTTCATATTAATATAATGCCTAAAATTATTTCAAGGAATGCCTATCGCCCGCCACCTTTCATGCCAGAGTTTTAGGTTAAATTCAGCTTATGTTAAAAAAATTACAGAGTTAAAGCCAAACCTGGGAAATAGCATTATCAGTTAGCGCTCAGTATGTGTTGTGTATGACTCTCAGCTACTACTACTTTCGGGTTTTAGCTCAAAACATACAAAATTCCCTGAGATGTAGCTTCTTATTATTTCCAAATCAGTTGGGGTCGTGTTTCGGGTGTCAGTATGTTGTCAGTTCCTCCTAAAAAAATAAAAATTCCCCCCAAACTTCTCACATGGTTTCATTTCAGTACATGAGCTAACAATCCAATGACCTCACACCAAAAAACGAATAAAGAATAAATACAAAAACTCAAAACAGATTTGTGTTTCAAACTTTTTTCTTTGCCTTTAATCTGCATCAAAATGCATCAGATATGAAGCCTACACACATTAATGCTTCATTTGTAATAATGTGCCGTTGCCACATGCAGCCTTAGCTTAACATTACTGTTTCATCTTCTGGAAGATCTGCTCAGCTCCCCGACAGATGTTTGGGCGACTTCTGGCTCACCTTCTTGAGATTCAAAGACCAAAGCATCAACGAAATGTGGAGCAACAACATGGCGTCTGTCCCACAGCCTGCACAGGGATCTGGCATGTGTCGAGGCTGACGGGCCAAGCACCACCACAGAATAAGACTCTCTTCCTCTAACTCAATGTTTTCACATTTTTTTTACATGTTTTAACAAGGTTTGGAGTCGTAACATTACAAAATAAATTAGTGCCTATATTTGTTTTGTTGAATTTTCTTGCACAAAGTATTGATTTAGCTTTTGTTTCGGTGTGATTTAATAACATCACAGATGCAGATACTCTAAAGTTGAAATCATACCCATAAACTTTGATCATTTATAAACGTTTGCATAAATGTTCTGTGTTCTCTTGAACACTGTGGGTTTTAATAGATACAGACTGATGTTTGCATGACACAAGAAAATAGTGGTAAAAATGTTAAGACAGAGACAAAAAGCCCTCTGTGTCGCTCACATGGAGTCATGAAAAATAGAGCTATTTCCTGGAAAACGTTAGTGCCATGGTCTGCTCCTCTTCGAGTAAAAGACATCAGCTCTCAAATTACATACTAGTTTTAAAAGAACTCAATTAGCTTCATTGGTAAGGCAAGAAATGAGAGTAAATGAAAGAGCAATAAAAACAGGCATGCATGCTTTAAATGTAGCATGTTTAGCCTGAGGGCTCTTTAAAAAGGTGGTTAAAATCTTTAGATGTGAGATTTTGTGGACAGATTATGAATAAATAATAGTTTGTCTGTTCTAGATTGTGTCCACACAAAAATGGCACTTTAGGAACCCCTCAAGTGTTATTTTTGGTATCCTGATGCATGCTCAATAATCCAGGTAGAAAAAACTGAAAAAGGTAAGTCAGGTCCTCTGGACGTTCAAAATACAAACAAAAAAAATATGTAGAAACGTTTCGTCTTTCATCCGAAAGACTTCTTCAATTTTGATTTGGACACCCTAAACACAACCTTTTGAAAACCACCGGTGAAACAATAGTGACAGATTACATGCTCACATCTTGAGCTGCAGACTCTAGTTTCTCTAGTACAATAAAACCTTCATATTCTGTATTACTTCAATGACATGGCTAATGACCTATGACCTAAATGTTTTTCATCACTTTACAGGACTGCCAACAACACAAAACATAAACGTGGCCTAAAAATAAACCTACAATAGACATCAAGCATACATTTGAAAAGATTGAGAAATTAGAATAGTTTTAAAAGGCATATAAATAATTTACCCTGAAATACTTGAAACATTGTGAAAAAACAGAGCTCGCCCGGTTCCCTCGCTGGATTCTGTACCTGAAAATTAGTCCACATATTTGGACTGAGCTGACTCCCAGACAAAACACAGTCCTTAACTTTTGTAGACTTGTAGTTTAATATGACACAAAGCAGACATTACACTTTGTTGTCAGTTCACAAAAATTATTCAGTTCCCCATCCTCGTCTTTTCTTCTTGTTGTGTTTATGATTTGAATCATAGACTGTTCGTGTGTACTGCCTATAGTTTCTACTTGACATGTCAGCTGCTGTGCATGCTTCATGCTTCTTTCCAGTTTCTGGTGTATTTTCATGGCAGTGTTACAGTGCCACATACAGGCCTGGGATAGTTACTGCAGCATTTTGAGTCGTTTTCTGCCTCTACATGTGGACAAACACATTTCTAGAAATGGGGCTTTGTTTACAAGAATATTAATCCGTCCATCCATCCATCCATCATCTATACCCGCTTCTTCCTTTTTGGGTCGTGGGGATCACTGGTGCCAATATCCAGCCATCACTGTGCGAGAGGTGGGGGACACCTGGACAAGTTCCCAGTCCATCACAGGGACACATAGAGACAAACGAGACAAACAACCATTCACTCTCTCACTCACACCTAGAGACAATTTAGAGTTACCAATCAGCCTAACATGCATGTTTTTGGTCTGTGGGAGGAAACCAGAGTACCCGGAGAAAACCCACGCATGCACGGAGAGAACATGCAAACTCCACACAGAAAGACCCCCAGCTGGGATTTGTACTGGCGACCTGCTCGCAAAGAGGCGGCAGCTCTACCAACTGCACCACCATACTGCCCTACAAGAATTTTATAATTATAAAATATAAAACACAGTTTTTTGGGGTGGTGGTGGGGGGTGTTCATTAAACAAGTCCTAATTCTGACCTGATTCATGAGCTAACCACTAGCCAAGCTCAAAGTGGATCAGTTCCATCAGAAAAACAACTCAAATGTCTAAAATACCGCAGTGGCTCGTGTCGTGTGAATGCTGTTTACAACCCTTTACATCAACATCTACTTCACATCACATGGTTTTAGAATTTGACAGTTATTGACAAATAGCAGCAGCTAGCTGTAGCACCTTTTAGCTTTAGGACAGTCTTTTCATAACCTTTCCAAAGGATCCCATTTCAAAAGATCTGAACTAACCTTTTACTAAAGACAGTAAATATTTTAAACTGAAATTAATTCAGATTTTGATTTTTATTCATTTCTGTTGCAAAATAAAGTTGATTTAAAATCCTGCGCCTGTTATGAACTATGCATTTTGATGGTTTTGTTTTGAAAGTTATTTTCCCTCGTCTATGTCTCGTCTCCTCTGTGATTTCCACCGTTGTAACTTGTGTTTACCTGTTATCAGTGCCCTGCTCCTGCCCCGCCCACTCTCACTTGATCCTTGAACAT